CCCCAAAACCCCAAAACCCCAAAACCCCAAAACCCCAAAACCCCTTATTTGCCTGTAAGTGTTGAATTTACTTCTTTTTCTTGTAGTTTTCCTCAAAATGCTTCTTTCTTGCAAGGATTTGCTCTCTGTCGTCATTCATCTTGATGTCTCTTCTGTCTTGAGTAATCTCCAGGATTTGCTTATCGAGTAAGAATTTCTCAATTAAGGCGGCTTTAATGTGGATTCCTTTCTTTTGGTATTCTTGTTGAGCCATATGAACAAGTCTTCTGAATTGCTGTCTACGGTAATATCTTCCTTTAGCAGTAAGCATGAAGCTGTATTTTCTAAGTTCTTCAAAATCAGCATTTGTCTCATATAGTCTTCTTCTGAAGATCTCTCCGATTCCTTGAGGAGTTTGGCCCTTCAATGCCTCTCTGATAATATGTTCAAGAGGTTTCTCGTGTAGAATAATATTTAAGGAACTCTTAGGACGTCTGATTACTCCGAATTTTCCTCTGGCTTTAATATCAAGTTTCTTGCCTCTGATTCCTTTACCAACATAGGCTTCTTCAACGTAGAAGAAATCAGGGTTAAGGCCTTTTTCTTTACCATCATCTCTCATTCGAGTGAGAAGATCGTAAAGGTAACTAGCTCCTTTCTTCTTGTTCTTTGAGATAGTTGTGAAAGCTTCTGAGATATGCATTCCTCTAATCTCTTTACAGCAGTCATTGAGTCTCTGACTAGAATAAGGAAGGTTAACCATTTTATCCCTCATTACGACTGGTTCAGGCTCAGGCTCTAGATTTTTACAGAAAATCCTTACCAACGAAATCTGGGTAGTAGCACTTTGGAGGAGAGCTGATCGCCTGTGGTTCAAATGGCTTGAATGCTATAGTAGAACCTGACACATTGGCTACTCTCTGTTGTGTTGAAAATACCCTTCTAAATAAGTACTTCGGCAATGAAGATTGAAACATCATTGTGATCCTAGTTAATTTATATAAAAAATTTGATAAATAGGGGTTTTGGGGTTTTGGGGTTTTGGGG